TGTATTCAAAGCTCAGAATATCGCAGCCACACCATCACTGTTATAACAGCCACCATAGAGAGCAATAACAAAACAGAACGTATCAAACATTCTACATAAAACAATCAGAATATCCCCTATCCATAAATAGTGCTGATGGTCCCTTTATCTTCCATGTTTATATTGCATGTTAACGGGGCACATCTTACCAGGCTGAGACTAAAGCTGTGCTCCAGGCCCCCGGGTCTCACGTCAAACTCTTCTGTGTTGGCTGTTTCATGCCCATAGACCCCAGCTAAGAGAAAGACAGCAGCAAACAACCAGGAGGCGGCCATCTTTACTGGGAGCCACTAGGAAACGTCAGCAAAGCGAGACTGCAACTCCCGCACCATAGAGTATCAATGTGAAAAGGGTGGGAGGGGGGTATAGAGCGCCGCGTATCATAGAGATGAGAATCATGGGCAACACATGCATTTGTAGCTAAAATGTGGAGGTTTTTAGGAAAATCACTTAAGAATATATAATTTCCATTCCTAGAGGGATCTTGTCAGGTTTACAGTTAAGAATTGGGTTGTTAGAGAGAATAAGCTAGCGCCCAACCAGCTGAAGGATCTAATGCCCCCTAGTGGTCAGGCCCAGCATGGAGCTTGTGCTAAAGGATCATTTTTAGCCTTTTAACCATTTCTTGATTTTCTCCAGATTTTGGCTATTTTGTGTTTGGACTGCAGTTACCTGGACCACAGGGAAAAGCCACTAATCAGCACAGAAAGCGCCTTGCAACATGCTGTCACTTTCAGGACAGCGGTGACCTTAAAACTATTTTATTTTAATAATCCTTTCATTAAATTTTTGACTTTTTTTTTTTTTAATATATATTATAAATAAAACCGATAAACGTGTCCTGGCATCAAGGCATGAGCAGCAGATCATTTAAGTCCTGCAAGTTGTGATGAGGAGCCATCATAGATTGGTTTTGTTGTTCCAGCACGCACATCCCACAGATACTAATCGGATTGAGATCTGGGAACTTGGAGGCCAAGATCTTAAACTCTTTGTAATTTTTTCTCAAACCATTCCTAAACAAGTTTTGCAGTGTGGCACGGTGCATTATCCTGCTGAAAGAGGCCACTGCCATCAGTGAACACTTCATTGCCATGAAGGGGTGTACGTGGTCTGCATCAATCTCCAGGTAGGTGGTACATGTGAAAGTAACATCCACATGAATGCCAGGACACAAGGTTTCCCAGCAGAACATTGCTCAGAACATGGTTCAGTTCTGACACTCACGTCCACAATTGAACGCACTTTTGGCCTTAACCCCTTAAGGACACATGATATGTGTGACATGTCATGATTCCCTTTAATTCCAGAAGTTTGGTCCTTAAGGGGTTAAACAGGGGTCATCATGGGCACTGTGACGGGTCTGCAGCTATGCAACTCCATACACAGCAAACTGTGACGCACTGTGTGTTCTGTCACTTTTTTCTCATGGTCAGTATTGAGTTTTTAAACAATTTGAGCTGCAGTAGCTCTTCTGTGTTATGGCACCAGACAGGATAGCTTCTGCTCCTCACTGCATCAAAGAGCCTTGGATGTCCATATGTAACACTATAACAATGTGTAACAATATAATCAGTGTTATTCTCTTCACCTGTCAGTGGTTTTATTGCTGTGGCTGATCATATTATTACAGGATCTTTCAGCCATATACACTTGGGTCAATAATGTAGTGTCCTGTAATGTCACACATATATAACATCTCTGAGAAAAATGTAACATCTCTGAGAAAAAACTTTTGGAAGGGGAAAATTCCCTAAATAAATAATAAACTATTTACAATGTGCGTACTATATCTCACTGCACTTGTAGCAGCAATGTGTATACTGTCTGAATGAGTGTGTGTATAGCAGTGTGTCACTGTATAAGTTAGAGCTTGACAAATTTGCTTGGAATCTAGGAGCCAGCTAAAAAAGTTAGGAGCAAGGTTTTTCAACATCAAAAATACAATTCTTAACAGGACACTGTAGTCACCAGAACCACTACAGCTTAATGAAGTTGTTCTGAAGTCTATAGCCTGTCTGTGCACGCTTTTCAATGTAAACACTGTCTTTTCAGACAAAAGGCAATGTTTACATTGCTGCCTAGTAACACCTCTAGTGGTAGTCACTCAGACGACCTCTAGAGGTGCTTCCTGGGTCAGTGCTGCACAATGTGCAGCAACTATATTCAGTGTGGCATGGAGACGCTTAATGCTCTCTTTAAGGGTTCATTAATTCCATGCATCTCTATGAGGAGATGTTGATTGGCGCAGCAAGGCATTTTGCAGCGCATACACAATAGTCTCCAAATGCTTTCCTATAAGGGGGAAGCATTGGATTAGCTGAGATCGTCAAACTATTGAACTCAGCCATGGAGGTGTTGCCAGCTTTGGCAAAACCAGCATTGAGTGGGGGAAAACGTGAGTAAAAACACATTTACCATGTAATAGGGGGTCCAGTGGGGCTGCGCTGATCATCTTCCTGCTCAGCCTTTGTGCGCTGTTTAGTATAGGGTAACAGAGCAGGAAGATGAAAACTCCCTCGCTGAATCTGTACTCAGTTAGCAGTCCGCCTGCCTAACTTGCTTAGGTCTCCATGACCTACCTGCATGTCTGCTTCCGCTCTCAGACAGCCATGAACAGGCGCATAAATCCCAGACGCCAGGACAAATATCCTAGTCGCCATGGCGACCTGGGATTTGTCGAGCCCTGGTTTATGTGTATAATATTGGTTGCATGTTGTCTTAGTGTTTGTCATAAAAAAAAAAAAAACTTTCTCTGTGGCCTTTCTTGCGTCACTCCCCGCTAATGTACTTTTGTACCTCTAGTTAAAAGAGAAAGATCGGGTTATTCACTAAAGTCAGAAATCATCTAGAAGCATTCTGACTTCAAAATCTGGACTCTGGGGCTGGTGGAGCAGTCTGAGCTGGACATACCTCTAAGCTGGGCCTTTACCAACTTACACATCAAAAGCACAGGAGATCAGAGTGGGAAGAGAATCTCCTGAAAAGCTATTATCATGATCAATTCATCATGCTGTTACTCTGCACATACACTGTAGTCTTTCTGCTCAAACAGACTTAAAGGACCACTCTAGGCACCCAGACCACTTCAGCTTAATGAAGTGGTCTGGGTGCCAGGTCCTTCTAGGGTTAACCCATTGTTTCATAATTATAGCAGTTTCAGAGAAACTGCTATAATTATGAATGGGTTAAGCCTTCCCCCTATTCCTCTAGTGGCTGTCTCATTGACAGCCACTAGAGGCGCTTGCGTGCTTCTCACTGTGATTTTCACAGTGAGAGCACGCAAGCGTCCATAGGAAAGCATTGTAAATGCTTTCCTATGCGACGGGCTGAATGCCCGCGCAGCTCTTGCCGCGCGTGCGCATTCAGCCGGCGGAACGGAGGCGGAGAGGAGGAGGAGAGCTCTCCGCCCAGCGCTGGAAAAAGGTAAGTTATTACCCTTTTCCCCTTTCCAGAGCCGGGCGGGAGGGGGTCCCTGAGGGTGGGGGCACCCTCAGGGCACTATAGTGGTCCTTTAACTAAGCAGGATCAAGGCTCTAAGCTTCCTGGAGCTCCAGTTGTTTCTGTATTTTTTGTTATCCTGATTCATCACTACTAACATTTAACATGTTTTTTTTTTCTTATTAGTTTTCATTATTAACTAACAATTTTTGCATATACTCCAGTCTAATTGACAGGTACCTGCCCAGCAACTCAATCTTAGCATAAGTCACGTAGCCTCTGCCTGTGATTTTCTGTTTTTATGTCTCTGTGATGATATGCTTACTATCAATGCTTATCTTGTTTGCACTTTTGTTCTCTTAAAAATAAAAAAGTGCAGTCTATCGTATTCCAAGCTAGATATTAACTTATGTGGCTGTAACTGCGATATCCATGCTGTATCGATGCACAACAAAAATAATTATATTGAAAAAAAAAAAAAAAGCTTTGAGTATGTATAGATGCAACTTATGTAACTTTGCTAGTTAAGAGACTGCTATGTCCTTTTAATATAGCTGGATTACACAAACGGGGTTCACTGGGCTCTTGTCTGTGCTGGAGCTCTGACCTTGGCCCTCCTTGAGCATGCAGGGTGATCAAAACATCTTCCAGCTCAGCCTTGTGCCCCCACACCAGGCACAGATCCACTAGAGGTGTTAGGAGGCAGCAATGTAAACATTGTCTTTTGTCTGTTTACTACACGTGTGCTCCTAATAGTTACAAGGTCAGACAGGTAACAAAAAAAGGGTACCTGCTCTTGCAAATATATATATTTTTTTTGCCGAGCCAAAGCAGCTGGTTCTGAAAGACCACTTTTTGTCGCTCACTTAGCTCTTACCCTTGTGGCAATAAAATTATTGCTGCTGCAAGTATTGCGGTACCGACAGCTTACTTGCTGCAGAGCTAACCCCCACAATCAAGCACCGCATCCCAGCCTCAACCAGCTCACCACTAGGACGAGACCAGGAAGCTGCAACCTCACGCATGAGACATGACCACTTAGTTGCATCCCTGACACACGTGATACAGAGTTCCAAACTAGCTAATGTTAATTCTGTGCACATTTTACATGTGTTGTCAGGGCACACAACAAGTTGGAGACAGATGTAAAGACCTCCTTCCAACATTGGAGAAATAGGGTTAAAATAAGAAATCCTCCCTACTCCCCTGCCACCTCAAACTGCAGAGATGCGCTCTAAGCCGGCGAAATGGTCCAACCACAGGCTTCTCTCTGAGAAGCTTGTGATTGGACCTGGCATAGCTGCCTTGATTTCATAAACCTTCACAACTTTTTTTTTTATACTTATTTTTTTTAGTTAAGAAGGGAGAGACCTAAACTATAAAGCCATTAGGGTATTATGCTTTAAAACAGAGATTTAAACATTTTTTTTTTAAATGGAGTAACCCTTTAAATGGCATTTTGACAGAGGTTACAAAAACAAAAGGGAACTTGTAATCCCCACTCCCCCCCCCACCCAAAAAGTTATTTTCGGGACAACAGGTTCCTTTTAAAATATGGCAATTTTCATCCTACCTCAAACGCAGAAGTAGTTTAGAAACATCTTGCACCATATGGCTATCACAGTGAGAAGACGCTGGACGTCCATAGGAAAGCATTGATTAACGCTTTCCTATGGGCGGTTTGAATGCACGCACAGCTCTTGTCGCACATGCACATTTGGAGCGGATGTCGGCAGAGGGAGGAGAGTTCAGACAGCACCGAGGGAGCCAGGCGCTGGAGAAAGGTAAGTGGCTGAAAGGGGTTTAACCCCTTAGGCCCAGGGGGAGGTGAGACCTAATGACCCTTTAGTGCCAGGAAAATCAGTTTGTTTTCCTGGCACTATAGTGGTCCTTTAATTAAAGTTGTAAATGTATCTTTGTTTCTGGCATAAACCAATAAAACATTAGTTATTTGAATGATCTGCCATTAGCATCTGAATTCAGCCATATTGCTTTTAGTGTAACTATATTCATTGTTCTTTCTCTTAAAAGACAATTTTATTTCCATAGGTTAAAAAGCTATGACTACAATGGACGACCTTGTCATTTGTAAAGTATTGTAATTGATGAGGTCTTCAGGGAGCTGTGTGTACTGACCATGTTTATATTTGTATGATGCTATCAGAGATGCCTTTTTGGGGGTTTTTTAGGTGAAAAAGTGTAAGTTTTTTAGCCTTTCTTCTTAAGGAAGATCTCTTCTTTCTGTAATATTTTACACTTCTTCCGTTTTCCTACTTCCACAGTATCTCTTCTTTTAAACAGGTGCCCAATATTGCACCACCTATTCAAGGTGGATTCCTAATTTAACTTATATAAAGGCAAAACTTTACATTCAATCATATCTGCTGCTAGCCTGCACACTCTCCAAATTCCTCTGTAGAGAAGTAACATGCTTAGACTGTATTACTTTACTTAGTTTTGCATGATATGCAGATATGTGACTTTTGAGGCCTATTGGGCAGTTGAATCCAACCCAGGGCAGAACTTTGGACTGACTACATTTGTCTGATCTGAAAACAAAATTCTGCAGCCTTCATAATGACTAATAATAATATATACTGTAATGCACCTCAAATAGCAAGGTCCACAATCCAAATCACCCCTGCCAGGTCATCTACATTTGCAGGGCTCAGGTCTTCACTAACTCTTGCCCTTTAACCCCGTAAGGACACATGACATGTGTGACATGTCATGATTCCCTTTTATTCCAGAAGTTTGGTCCTTAAGGGGTTTAAACCAATTTTTTCTAAATTTATAGAGTAGCCTTCTGTGTTGAAATGTTTTAGCAAAACGCAAGTGGATCACATGTACTGACATCGTCTGATCTATACTTCTACCTTCTGCATAGAATAAAATAAAAATTGCTATAATTATGTATTCCTGACCCGGGACTATAAATATATAAAAAAAATCCCCACAAATCTGACTTGGTGTATATATTTTTTTTCTTTTAGCTGCACTCATTTGTTTATATTATTTTTTTATTCATAGTAAAAGATGACACATATATGAAAGGTATCAAAAGAAAACCCTGTCTGCCTGTTTAAAAAAGAGATAGACTTCTATAGGTAAATTTTTACAAATAAGACAAAGTAAAAGATAGCCAAATTCTCAAAATTGTTATAATTTTGATTGATAACAAAATTGATATAAAAGCAGGAGGCACATGAACCCTTCTGGTTTCTTGGTTTAACCAGTTAATAGGCTGTGTGTTTCATAAAAGCAGAACCACCCTGTGATTTTCCGAGGTGTTTGCAACAAATATCACAGGTCTCTTCTAAAATTTGCTGAGCTTTTACAAAAGGACTCCTAGTCTTCAGTCTGGCATCAACAGTGCATATTCACTAAAGTGAGAATTCAAAGTTAATTTCAAATTTAAAAAAGGAAATAATTAATTTCAAATTTATGGCAGAAATTGCTTAACTAGAGAAATTCCGCTATGCTTCCAGATTGGTCTAAATTTGATAATTCACTAAAACACTAGTTGCACATAAAGCTTGGTGGAACACAAGCATACGAGTATAGGCAGCACAAATAAATCCTAATATTTAATTATTTGTAACAGTCGCCAGTTACAAAAGAGTAAGAATCAATAAAAATATTACCTTTCACAATAAGTAGTTAAAATACATGGGGTATTGTGTATGCACACTGCATAGGACTGAGGCAGTTGCCAGCAGGTAAACAGAACTATTCTGTTAGTAGACCATATAATGCTCTGAAAGTCAGTTCAGTTTGGTGATCAAAAGTTAAATAGATGGGGAAAAATAAGTCAGTGTGTTGGGAAAGAACATGATGACTGGTCCTGAGAGCAGATAGGGGGGTGGGGGAATACACAGCAATTTCTGGCATAATCCAACCTACAGAGACTCATCCAGTTATGGGACAGGCATGAAATGCAGTGAGAGGATAAGATAAAGCAGTTCAGTCCTTGAACAGATGTCTAAAAAAAACAAAAAACATGTTGTAGACATGCCCAAATAAACATTGTCATCCTCTTTGTATTGTTCACATAGCCTAGGGTCAAGTATGCATGCATCCCTCAAAAACAAGATTTAAGAAAAACAAAAAACACATTCAGAGCAATTCCAGGTTCGAGGTCCTCAGTTTGTAGACTTTTCTTCCTGTTTATGGTCTTACTTTCTGTATGTATCTTCCTTGGTCACTCTTATTTTTGAACATCGAATACAATATTCTGTACTTTGTGGCTCGACGATTCCCATCAATATGTTTCTTCTCTCACAGCTAAGCAATCAGCCTTTCTTCTTGCAGGGTACCATTTTAACATTTCTGTTCCAGCTAGGTCACTGGCTTCGGTCTTGTAAACTGCAGGTCACATGTCCTTGCAACTTTATATGCTCTCACAAATGTTCTTGCAAGAAATGCAATAAGGTTATCTCATAATGCTCTCCAGACTCAGGGCAGCGAATACTATGCCTTTCATTTGGGTAAATCTGTAAGAAGAAAAAAACAAAACACACACCATTAAGCAATTGACTGAACTGACAGCAGTAAGAACAAACCTTTCATGCTCTTTAATCTCCAAACAAGTGAGGCATGGACTCATCATTGCCACCAAGTTCATACACAACCTGTAAGTCCCTTGGTTTAAATGCCCTGGGTCAGCAGATCTATAGACTAGTGATTCCATTAATAGTCCACCTGAGTCACTGTCTGATTATTGCTTGCCTTTTGATATTAAAAAGTAGTATCAAATGACTGGAAGCTCTGGCAAAAGCCAATCCTAGAGTGTACCAAGCTACTGCTGGGTGCCTTATGCCATCGTAGGCTGTACCACTCTTGTAATCACTTCAGGAGACTATCGCAGCAGTCACATGCTTCAGCAATAAGGCAGCAATTGTGGTCCTATGTTTTCTGCAAATCAGGCAGTCCAGAAATAGTCAATGATTGGCTCTCAAAGAAATGCAATCACTATGGGAAACAATCACAATCACATCCAAGGGTTAATGACAGAAGTCAATATGTGATTCATGAGTGTTAGACTAAGATTACAGTTTGAATCTAATTTGTGGATAGGCTTAGATCTATTACTGCTTGATCACACTTACCAAGTACATTGCAGGGTTAAAAGGAAAGGGCCATGGCACCCAGACCACTAAACTGAGACAAAGTGGTGTGAGTGACTATAATGTCCGTTTAAATGTGGGCTCCATCCATCCTGAATTGACCCTTTAAATTGCCTCGTGGAAATATGCAACACTCCATGTGATATAACCCGAGAGGCAATATCAGAACTATGTAGCTGACAAATGAGTTTTCTGCATTGGGTCACATCAGAATTATGATATTCACAAAGAAAAAAAAAATTGATTTAAATAAAAAGGAGAATTAAAGATATTACATTAAAGTGGATCCGAATTTTTTTTTTGTTAAATTGCCTATGGAAAGACAAAAAAAATCTTAAAACAATCCACATAATAAAGCTCAAAGTGGTATGGGACAAGAGACTCTTACAATCAGTAATGACAACCAATTTTTACCCAAGATATTTCTACTAAATTTTAAAAAGTTATAAGTGAAACGGTTTAGATTTCTTCCTTTTCAAAGATCTTACAAAGCTAATCTATTTTTTTTTTTTTTTTAATATACATAAAAGGACATAAAAATGCATATTCTGCACTTGAAAAACCAATATTCCCATTCCCATTGTAGAGCGGTATGGAATTTGCTGGTGCTATATAAATTAAAAAAAATTAGAATACATAACATGCATGGTGCACTCCATAAACAGATATGGAATTGCAGCAAAAATAATAAGAATGCTTCTGCAAATGCAAAGAAAGGTGGGTGCGGTAACCTCAGCTATGAAGCAGTTAAAGGAGCAGTTATTAGGAGTTTCGGAGTGGTGTGGTTATTTAATTTTAATGTTAGCATTTCCTGCATACCCCACCCCACACTTTTTCTTTTTTAAATTAAAAAAGTTAAAAATCTTTATTAAACTCATATTTAATTCAATACGGAGCCAGTATCAAGCCTAAAAAGAGGACTTTAGTAATGATAACTAAAGTCCAATCCAATGTTTCTCCTACAGGAGCATTAGGGACAGAGGGCACATACACAGCAATTGTCTAGCTCAATCAGATGGAGAAGGATTGAATCCAATGAGAAGAATTAAGTGTGTTCTGTTCATGCTATGATGAGGTTTAACTGATTTTCAAAGGTTTTCATGAGAAAGAACCCCCAGTGTCCATTAGCCTGACAGCCACAAGGGGCGTTCTATCAGATAAATGTTAATACTTTAAGAAACTGCAGTGTTTTTACAATTTCCCAATAAAAGACACAAAACCATTTCCTTAAGATAAAGCAGTTTTTGAAATATGAGTTCCTTTAATGGACCTTTTCAGACATACAGTGTAACACTACTGAAAACGTAATGGTACCTGTAACTGGTATGGTTTTCCTGCTCGAATCAGCTGGGACACAAGGAAATTTGTGTGAAAAAAGTGTACATTCTCATCCAGGAAACCATGAAGGATTAGGAGACGATGAGGCCTGTTAGAATGTAATAAAATTTAAAGTAAAAATAAAACATTAAAAAATAAAAAAATAAAATAAAAATGGAGATCAAGAGATTGTGACATGGTCTAGATGCTTACTCATTGGGAAGTTTGTCCACAAGTAACGCTGCGGATCCTGCATCATAACCAGTCTGGTTATTTTCTGGTGTGTCCATATATCGTTCTGTATACCCTGTGTCATATGCCATCCACAAAGTAACTGGAGCACCCGCAATGGCAACCTAAAGAAGATTTCCATAACTTACATCAAGCTAGGCGTAACAGTATCCATTATGTGACCTTTTCCCGCAGAATTTAAAAGTATATCAATATAAAAACGTGTTCAATATAATTTCATTTGTTTCGCGCAATAATACAACCCAACTAAACCCACTCATCCATTCCTTCTTCCAGTCTCCTTAGCCACCCCACTGTCTATTCGGCATATTTGGGGCATCTCTGGTGCTACAATGTGTGGATGACCTTCCAAGTGACATACTGCTCTTTCATTACCTCAAGTGTGCAAGGTCAGTTAATGATTTAAAGAAGCAGTGTTACAATGTAGTGAGATGCAACATCATACACCATTCCTATGTACTGCAAGAAATTTCCCTTGTGAAGATGCCTTGCAGTGGTGGTGTATCCGGTGAACGTTATTGCCGTCACCAGCATTATTGTTCCTATCAGAACTAATTTTTTAAAATGTCCGTTCCGTTGGAGAACCGTCTATCCTGTTACCATATTATTGAATGGATATTCTTGATTGAAAGTATTGCCTAGCCAGTTATGAGAGGTCACTTACCAAAGCTTTTCCTGACTACAAGTAATCAGAGACTTCTGTGTTGTTCGAACGTCACAGTCCTGTCCTTTAAAGCACATCTAGACTGCCATGAAAGATCTCTCTCACGTTGCTAATTAATCTAACTCCAGACACAAGCTACACACTCACCTTGAAAACATCTGGTCTCTGGATAATACCCATGAGAGATAAATAGCCTCCATATGACCAGCCATGAATTGCTACACGTTCCAGATCCACAAATCCATACTTCTCTGCAACATAATTCAAACCTTCCACTTGGTCTTGAATCTCAACTTGACCCTGATGGGCACAGTAAAAAATGGGTAATGGAGGAAAAGTACACAGGCAAGAAGATAGATAAAAAGAAACGTTGTCGTGGTAAAATTGCTCTAACCATTCTGTTTTTGATAGCTCCTTCAAAAGTCAGCCCTCTGTGACTTGAACCTCGACCATCGATCACAACTACTGCATATCCAAGGTGTGCTAGAGTGTTCAACCGCAAGTACTTAATTCCCTTAAAGGAGTTATTCACCAATTGCACCTAAAAGAAAAGAGAGATTTACTTGTGAAACGTGTTAAATTATTTACAGCATTTCACCAACAGAGTTCATTCATTCAACTCGTATTATAATGTGGTTTGATCTGAATGTCGAGAGCTTTAACAAAAAGCATATCTGCAAAGGATTTAGCATTAAAATATATTAATGCCATAAAATCATGGCACACTGATCAGTTGTAGTCAGTTCCAGTAACTTGCAAATTACAATAGTAATAATAAAAAATAAATAATAAAAGAAATAAAAAAAAACAAAAAAAAAAAACACACCACTACACAGAGTGCCAACTTAACAATAAGGGTCAATCACATAGAACAAAACATTTTTAACTTCTAAGGGGTTGACAAATACAATGCAAGCTATATTTATACACAATTTGAAAATATCAGCAAGAAATGTCTGTTTCTGCAGCCCTAGCCACACCTCCCCTTGGCTGCGACTCACACAGCCCTCATTCATACTTTAGGAAAAAGTACTGAAGAAATAATAAATTAATGTTTCAAAGGAAGAAGAACCCAACCCCCACCCACAAAAAATAAAATAAAAAAAAGAATTCTTCCAGCCATGTCCATCACTGGAAAACTACATTTTCGCAACCAATTCCACCACATTACTGTGAATATTATGTATTCGCAATAGATTCACTAAACCTTTATCTGAGTAAGCGCTCATGGTGTCTATAATGCTTCTCTATGAGAAGCATTTGATTGCTCACTGCCCAGCACATCAAGGACATTTGTACAAGGCATAAATGGGGTGGCGCAGCATCAAGTAGAATTCTAGTGATTTTAAAAACCAAATGCCTTTTTTAATTACCGTATATAAGTAATAAACATAGTATTAAAGGATTACTCAAAGCACCAAGTTAATTTCAGTGTTCTTGGTTCAAGGACTATTTCATACTGAAATGCTGCACATACCAAGATATTTACCTTGCTGCCAAAGTTCCGGACTTGCTAATGTTAATCCTGTCACAGGGAGTCATTCGTTAGCGGAGATCACTCAACCACTGAATGAATGCCATCCAGCTGTCATTCACTGCTGCTTAGTACCCACTTAAATGTACACCTTGAATAAGTGGAGTGAATAGTACTGAAGATACTCAGCAAAAGAGTGCTCCCCAATCCAACCCCTCGAAGGGGGAGGAAAAAATGAAAGACAGCGGTGGTCCTAAAAAGAAGTCATTCGCAGTGACAGGAAGACTAGCCCTTCAGAACTAGCTTAATGTTAGTTTGGTTGTTTCCGTCTAGGGATACCCTTTACCCCAAATCTCCTATAGCCTTATACGAGGAGGGTTCCCTTTGAGAGACTTACCGGTCTCCATTACTCAGCAATTGAATGCAATTATTTTCTACTCTCACAGACGTCTACAATACTATTTAAATATCAGCTCTTTTTTTTTGGGGACTAAGGGTGTTCTGTCTTGGTTGCTCTGGCTGCCTAGATTAAATCCTGAGATGACAGTTGCCATCTCCGATTTCTGACCAATTCTGGAAATTAGTTATTATACCACCAGACCCCAACCCAACTTTTGGCTTGGTTATTACCTATATGCACCTCCACAGTGGTGCACATTAGTTTGTACTATCCTTTTAGTTTGGACATCTGATGAATGTATAATCACTCACGAGGGTATTACAATTGGTGCAACATCTATTAAAGTTTAAATTTCTAAAAAGCTAGCTGCCCGGTTGATTCAATATTCAATTTGGGGTGTGCTGCTACTTACTGCCACAAATACCAGTTTGGTGAATAATTGTTTACTATCCCCATGGGGTAAATATAGTAATTTTTTCCATTATATGGGTTATAAGAGATATTTTTACCTCAATTAAATCTTACTATAACTTCATTCTATAGGATTCTCTCTACCCCTTCTACGATTTACTAGAATATCCCCTTCGCTTAAAGGGAAACTCCAGTGCCAGGAAAACAATCCGCTATCCTGGCACTGCAGGTTCCCTCTCCCTCCCACCCCCCAATCCCCGGTTGCTGAAGGGGTGAAAACACTTTCAGTAACTTCCTGAGGAAGCGACGATGTCCCACGTCGCTGCTTCTCCCTCCGCGCCTCTTTCTGACTGCGTTGGCCGGTGGGCGAGACTGATCCCGCCCACCGGCCAGGGAGACCTAATGCGCATGCGCGGCGCGCATTAGCGCTTCCCATAGGAAAGCATTGAAAATGCATTTCAATGCTTTCCTATGGGGAAATGAGCGACGCTGGAGGTCCTCACACAGCGTGAGGACGTCCAGCCACACTCTAGCACAGGTTTCCTGTGCTAGGAACCAGGAAGTGCCCTCTAGCAGCTGTCTAGCAGACAGCCACTAGAGGTGGAGTTAACCCTGCACGGTAATTATTGCGGTTTATAAAAAACTGCAATAATTACACTTGCAGGGTTAAGAGTAGTGGGAGTTGGCACCCAGACCACTCCAATGGGCAGAAGTGGTCTGGGTGCCTGGAGTGTCCCTTTAAGATCCAATTCAGTTGTAGACACAGACTAATCACTGATATTATTTTTGCATGATCAGTTATATTTTCAAAATCAATGCCAAACTTTAATATTTCTGCCAGGGTATGTAAACTTTTAAACACAACTGTAGATAATCGTTTAGGTTGATTTGTGAACAGTTTTGTTGAGGTCTAATTAAGACACGACAATTTGTAGCTGGAAACAACTCAAGCTTGCGTTATCTACACAGACACATTTTTTCTATGCAATACTAGCAAAGAGAAAATGACAAAAAACAAACATTCAGTGCAGTTATTAAAATTTCAAATGTGAATTTTGGGAAGTTATATTTATTGGCTTTAGAGGTTAAATGCAAACTCTCACAGGTAAAAAAAAAACAAAAAAAAAAAACGAGAAGATTAAAAAGATAATAAAAAAAATGAAACATCTTTTCTCTCACCTGTGGACCACCGTAGACAAACAATACAGTTGGGTGCTTTGCTCCTGGGCTGAGGTTGTGTGGTTTATAAACCATACCAAAGAGTTTAATCTTGGAAGATGTCTCGAAGTTGAAGATCTCAGGGGGAACATAGTATGGGGGATAGCCTATTGTGATAAGAAATTCATAAACCTTATTGTAGAACAACACAGAAGAACCGTTATGACAACAACATTCAGCTTGGGTACATAAGGGAAAGAATGTAAAATTAGTTCCTGTAAAATAAAGCGCATATTAGAACCACTTAGAAGGAGATGGAAAAAAAATATATATACAGTATTAGCATGAGTTATGAGCCAGTTTTTTTATTTTATTTATTTTTTAAAGCCAATAGGGTTTTGTTTTCAATTCTTAAAGGTACACTATAATTACCAGGACCACTACAACTTTATGTAGTGGTTCTGATGTCTATAGCAGGTCCCTACAGGATTTTCAATGTAAACACTTCCTTTTAGTGACATTCACTCACAATGCTACTACAGGTGCTTCCTTGTCCAGTAATGCACAATGTGCAGCACCAACATTCAGCATCTCCACACACTGCATTGAGGCGCTGAAATGTTCCCCATAGACATGCATTGATTGAAAACATCTATTTTACTAATTGGGGCAGTGTGGCATTTTGATACACATGTACAATAGCCTCCCAATGCTTTGGAAATAATTGAATTATCTCAGCCATGGAGGCGAGGGCAGTCGTGGTGAGAGCAGCACAGTGTGGGGAAAAAAAAAGAGTAAAAACACAGTCACTTAAACAGACACTCACGCAGAGTTACTGACCTACTCACACGCATTTACTTTAAGTCTGCCCAGCCTCCCTATCCTTTTTCCGGTGGGGCTGCACATTATCTCCCTGCTCTTCTTGTTTTGCTCCCTCACGCGCCATTTGGTGATGACTGGCCCAGTGACATCATATTGCAGCTACTGTCCTCACATCAGGGCGCGCAAGGTAAAAGAGAAAGAGCAGGAAGAGTGTGATGGTAGTCACCATCACTGGGGATGGAAGACAGATACCATGTGTGAGTCCCCAGATTCCTTTTGTGTTTTGGTCACCCTGTGCCCACTATTGGTTCAGGGTATGCTGAATGTATTACTTGTCTGTGCCTCTCCTCCTCCCCCTTTTTCCTGTCCTATTGTTTACCCAGCAGGGCTTTGTCCATGGGACACTCTCAGCCAGTTTGAACTAGCTGCCCTGTCCCTCAATCTCCCATCAGCCCTTGCTATTGTCTGACCCTACCTTTCCTTGTACTGTAGTGCTCTTATCAACCTATTGTATGTAAATGAGCTTGTTGGGGGCTTAAAAATGTGTGCTGTGGTTATTAAAGAGTTGCTGTTTAACCTTCACCATGTGTTGTCTGGTGTTTGGTCCAGTGTGGAAAAGACCCTCAGTGATCCCAGCCATCCACGTCGACTAGGTCTAAAAGTGCTCCAGTGTCCCTGATATCTACGAGGAAGCAGACTTGGCAGAAGTACTCGGTTGGAGTACTGGAGCTCAGCTACAAAGAGGTCATATCCTTCGCCGCCACCTCCATCGTCACTGAGCATGAACTAAACGGCTAACAAACACCTAGGCGCCAGGACAAAATTCCTAGTCACCATGGCGTCTGGGTTTTGTCAAGCCCTGCTCCAAGTACTATAGCCAGAAGAGTCCTTGATAGTTGTTATGGTGAAAGGAGTTCCTTGGCACGTTAAAGGATCAAACCTTTTGTGAACAGTTTGATACCTACTTTGCTCCCCCAGATGCCCACTCTGTTTCCAGTCTTCAACTTACCATTAAGTCAGCTGATATTCCCAACCAGAACTTCCATTTTAGTTTTAACATGAATACCATCATGTTAAACCTTTAGAATCTATTTTGCAGTCTGTTCATTATACAATGGTCTTAACATATTTGTAGTACTATTTAAATAATAACTTTTAATTTAAGATAACTAAATATTATAACTATATAAGTAAATCTACTTGCTAATATTACTCTTTTAATTGTATTCTCCTAAAAGGGTAATTTCTTTGTATTATCGATGAATGTTTTATATTTGTGTGTATATCTTCATGTGATTGGCATTAACCAATATGGTAAACTGGACATTTCCTGTTGGGATGAACTACATCACTTCCTGTGACGTGTATATACTGAACCAGACACTAGAAGCCCCAGAATGCTTGCCACGACGGCACCCTCAGTGCTTCCCCGTTACATGCATATGCCAAATAGAACACTATAAGCAAGAAGTCCGACAGCGCCCTGCGTCTATAGAAAACTCAAGGGAGTTGCTACTCATCACTTCAGGGCAACACGAAGAAATACAGGAAGTAGATCAGCACGCTCCCAATGGACATCTGATTTCACTGAGTGATTAATTGCCACCTATATAAACTTGAATATTACAGGACTTATTTCACTTCTGAAAAAGCCCTGTCAGGAGAAACACCTTAAGTGTGGTATTGGAGCCCATTATTTACTACCGCTTAATTATTTGTATTCTGTTTATTATTTACACTGTTAGATAATACAATAAAAGTTAATTCCCTGGTATAATATACATATATATATATATATATATATATATATATACACACACACACACATATACATACATACATATACATATATATATATATATATACACATACATACATATACATATATATATATACACACACACACATATATTGTAAGGCATGGCCTGAAATTGTGGGAGGGGCTATAGACCTATAAAAGGGACTCCCCCCTTTCCCTACTTACCTTTGTTGGTCAGACGAATAGCCTGTTCGAGGTCAGCATTTGCATGAGATCCACTTCCAGGTCATACAAGATGCCATTTTGGTTTCACCTTTGCTCCAAGAGGTCTCCTACTCCAAGCTGTGTCCAGGAATCCTGCAGCAGGGCTTTCCGTTAATCTAGTGGCTTTCTCTCTGGTCAGCATTGCATTTGGGGTCTCAGGGACTCTCAAACCGTAAGTTGACCCACCTGTCACACCAGGATTAGTTCCCACGGCGTTCAGCACAGCACGGGTCCTCACTTTACGGTTTCCTTTCGTTTTGCACGGTTATTTCGTTACCTTATACTCACCTAGCTGTTTATGTTAAAATCTGTTGTTTAAAATCTGTTTTAGTTAAAATCTATTGGGTTAAAATCTGTTTGGTTAGAACTACAAACGAAATACAATTTTTCGCCTACACACTGACCCCTACCGGTCTTTTGGTGTACTACAGGCTTCTCAGATAATATTGCATTTCATGTACAAACCAACCAACCACTGCATTTGCGCCTACACACTGACCCCTACCAGTCATTCAGTGTACTACAGGCTTCTCAGATAATATTGCATTTCATGTACAAACCAACGAACCACTGCATTTGCGCCTACACACTGACCCCTACCAGTCATTCAGTGTACTACAGGCTTCTCAGATATTATTGCATTTCATGTACAAACCAACGAACCACTGCATTTTCGCCTACATGCTGACCCCTGCCGGTCAATCGGTATACTACAGGCTTCTCAGACTTTATTTCACTTCTTAAGCAAACAAACTAACTACAGCATTTTCGCTTTTATACTGACTCTTATCTGTCAAACGGTATACTACAGGCTTTTCAGACATATGGTTATTCCCCTCATAACATTCCCACTATAATTACACAATAACACTTCCTTACAACGCATGCTTGCTATGATAAAATCATTCCTGCATCACTGCCTACATAGGCATTTAGTTACATTTACCCAAGAACGCACATACTATTTAAAGCACTATGCAGGATTCCAGACTCTAATACGGAATATTTGCACGCTTAAAATAGAAGTCCTTCCAATTACGTATTTTCACATTTTAGGTTATTCAGCTGCCAGTCATGGTTCACTACACTCATGTTTCGGGGTACAGTTGTATTCCATATCACACATGATATAACACTCCCGACAAGTTAATTAAACATTGGGACGGAGCACTTTGCTCTATTAAACTTGCATAACACACATATGGGTATACGTTTTTAACGGTCTACATTCAATTTTCATACATTGTTTTACCCGTCCGGGATACAGGTATTAATAACCCTTACGACCAGTAAGGGTATCTAATCATACTACTAGGTACATACTCCTGCTCATGTGGTATATACATACATTTTCTGTTTCCCCCTGGGTATATCCTTAGCGTACTGGCAATTAGGGACTATAGGTTTCCAATAGGTATTTCTCCTTTCTTGGCATCTACGCCTGTCGTATAGTGGTCCCGTGAGGCCAACACCCCGCCTCAACGCTAGGAGGCAAACACCCATCGGGCCACTCGTGAGCTGGCCACCTCGCATGGTATATAGAGAGGGCCTTACCTGTCACTCCCTTCCCCCTTTTTCTGGTTACAGTCAACAAGAGGCCAACATCCTGCCACTACGTTTGGTGGCCACAAAAATCTCCTTTGCACCATTGCATAGATAGAGCCTCTCAAGCCACTTGGCAACTAGCAGGGCCTCATCTGTCACCAAAGGATTTATTGTTTCGCCATGCGGCTTTAGCTAGCAAGCCAGTACTAGCACACTGTGGGTTCATATAATAATGACCATCTTCATGTTTTTTTAGTATGTATCAAGCAGGTGGTAAGGACTTCTCTCTACCTAACACTCCAGCTAAAGTCAACACACTTTCACTTGGAGGAAATGTTGCTAGTCCCACATGACAGTTTTGTCCCAACACAGCGGACGATCAAGTTTCAGGCTCCAGGCTCTAGCACCTTTGGTAGTACGTAGAGAACTACCAGAGACAAATTGGGTCGTCTCATTCTCTTTGGCAAATCCCAGATTTGCAACAATTTCCATGTTGGTACATGTAGTTTCAGTGCATGCAGACTGTTGCAGATATGTTCTCAATATGTCAGGGCACATGCAATACCATGTGTCCAAATAAATGTACCCTGAACCTTACTTCACATCTGTAAACATTATGCATTTCCAGTACTTTCTAACTCATCACCCTTCCAGACATTTAGTTGATTTCCTAATCTCCGATTTTTAAAGGTCTTCCGTATAGGTATTGCCTTATACTTTTGAGGAATCTAGAATGCCCTAACTTGCAGTCATCACAGCAGCATCCAACAGCTGGCATTACACTCATGGCCCAAGAAATGGCAGAAAGATTTCTACCTTGGTCTCTCCGATCTACACCATTTACAGCGTGGCGCAATCCCATTGCGATTGTCACAGGGAATCTTCCCTCACACTGTAACTGATCATAGATTTCTCTACACCTCACGCCTCGGCTACCCAAAGTCTCAACTCCCTCATACCCTCCGAGGAGTTTTCATTACAGTATGCCACCATTGTTCATACCATTACAGCTATCACTCAAGCGGGGGGTGGGAGCCTTGTTAAGTAAAACTGATATCACAAACGCATTTCAGACTGCCACCATCCACCCTACACTGGCACTTACAGGGCATTTATGGGCAGCAGTTAATATTTCTTCTCCCGCTTAACTTTAGGGGAAAGAGCAGCCCACAATCTTCAATATATTCGTTGAACTCTTTGCTGGTTGTGGTTAAACATATTCAGATGCCCCACAGTCATACACTCCCGAGATGATTTCTTGTTGGTCAAAGGGAACGTCTTTCCCTCTAGAAGCTTTAAGGAAGCCATTACTATGTCTGAACACTTGGGTGTCCCAGTATTCCCTAAGGTCACAGAAGACCCATACACTATCATTACATTCCTAGGCATACAACTTGACTCGGCATCCATGCCAACAAGTTACCACGTGAGAAATAGGAACAGTCACAACACCACCAATTACCACCTCCTGCTTGGTACTTGCAACTGCATGGAACTACAATCCCTACCAGGTTCCTTAAATTTTGCCATGCGCACCAGACCGCAGGCCGCGCTTTCATCTCAGACAACTTTGCTTTCTCCACTCTCCCACATGATGATCAGTGGCTGTCACTAGACAACCAAGCCACGGCAGACCTACACATATGGTGGACTTTCTTAACCACACGTAATGGTAAACTATTGTGGCAGCTGCCGTGACAACCGCCATGGCAGGGGGGTCATTTAAGGCCATGGATTACATGAACCTCGCCAACATAGCCGGGCTCTGACTAAACTGGCTTTGTCCACCAGCACTCAACACGCTTGCTACAGGGTTTTCCACTTATACAATACGTTTCATGTCGGACCATCACTTAAATAGCTGGTTTGAGGTTTCACCACTTATGGCCTTCGCCTCTTTTTGCCACCTTAAGTTAATAATTCTCGCACAACATGGTTAAAGTTTATCTCACGGGCATTCAACACTATATGTATTTCTCTTTCCCAAACAACAAGGGTTCCTATCATCCTACACCATCCGTACCTTACTTAGAGACACAGCCAAGCGGACGTTCCCGCTAAAACTAAATACTGGCCATAGACATACAATGTTAAAACCATGTCAGAACCACTAGACCATGCACCTTCCGAGCCACGCACCAATGCAGTTATCAAAACTGCTACCCATCTAGCCTTTAACAGCTTTCTCAGGGCAAAAATAACACACTATCAGTGGCCAACATCATAAACAAGAGTGCCTGTTGACTTCTTATCTTCTAAAACACACAGACCACTATGTCCGGTCCCTTCCTAAAACGAGTCAGATGGGCGAGCCAGTGCATATAACCTACTACCTTACAAGCAATGCTGGGTGCCCGGTTAAGGTACTGGTTACGTTCTTGGGCACGCCACCATACGCACCACTGAACCATTACTGTCGGTGTACGATACTGTCCTTACCACAGGTAAGTTCATGCACTGTTAACCTACTCATTCACCGGGCTCAAACTAAAACCTAGCGTCTACTCAGGGCACTCCTTTAGGATAGGAGCAGCCTCCACGGCATATACCCAAGACATCCCCGCACACGTTAAGACACGGGGCCACTGGGAATCATAGGCTTATGCGACTTACATACCACAGCCGATGTAGGAATTAGGAAGCTTTCATTAAAATGTCTACCTAATGGTTAACAAATGCACTATGATCCTGTATAATGTTTTGCATTAATATGTCTTTTTGCCCACTTTTTACCAGCCTACAGCATACGTCGGTTTCGGCACACCTCAACCGATTATTCCTAAAGCTACATCTCTACAACCCATCTTATTCTATATCATATAATATGAGAATGCCCGAACACAGATTGGAAGGCATGGCCTGAAGTTGTGGGATGGGCCTATATTGTGGGATGGGCCTATAAAAAGGGACTACCCCTTTTCCCTACTTACCTTTGATGGTCAGACGAGTAGCCCCACCCTCCACTCCCATTGTTCATATTTCCTCTATGTAAGCCCACCTTTTACCGGCACACCTCAACCGATTATTCCTAAAGCTACATCACTACAACCCATCTTATGCTAGATCATATGAGAATGCCCCGAACACAAATATATAACATACACACATACGACATTTATATATATATATATATATATATATATAATTTTTTTTATTTTTGTGCTGCCCAACTTCCTGTTGGGGATTATACCAACAAGGACTTTTACTACTAGAGCAGGTTCTTGCGCTTTAAATTGTAAGTAGAACTCCCTTTTGTTAAGATATACTTACGTTTATTTTCTACACCAGCAGTTCCCAAACTGTCTTACAATTTTTTTGTGCGGTTTATCATTTTCTGATGTTGTATACATTCTAGATTTTACTCAAGGTCTTTGTATAAAATGTTGTAATGCCTGGGAGTATACCAATAAGTAAATAAATACATACATTTTGCTTACACAAAATGCAATAACATATTTGGATTAATGCTAAATAAAAAAAAAACTTCTAAAGTAAGGGTGAGTGACAATATAAGAAGATAGAATGTTAGAATTGCAACACAAACGATACATTTAGAGCAGGCCTGCTTTCTAAATACAGTATATGTCACACATATCAATGATGCTTACCTGATCCTTCCAACAAGCTGGCACATAACTGAGGTTGCTGGTGCAGAGGATCCCCTTGAAGTCGGTACAAGTGCACACAAGGTAGGCATGTCACACTGCTATAATGAGTTACGAACATATCGAAGGTCTGTTGAAGAAAACCAAACCAATCACATGGGTACATAATACACCTAGAAAAATTATTATTTTCTATTTAGCTGTTTACTTTTCTGGAAGCTGCTTTGAATTAAACAAGTACCCTCACTCACCTGGCTCACTGTGCAATAGTGCGAGTATCCCAGTTCAGTAAGCCTCACCACCTCACCGGGATTTTTATAACTTGTGACATACAGGTGATGCTCCAAAGAAGTGTCCCGTGTCCCTTGAAAGTAAATTAGCTGCGTCTTTTCATTCACCAAAACCTGGAATGTGGGTACAATAGATCAAATAGTTTGAGTGCTCAGGCTTATTTTAAACAAAAATCTATAACTTGGCACTAATGAAATTACAATATTTATTAAAAAGCACCTTGGCTCCATGACGTCCTAGAACCTCCCAGTCTCCACTTGTCAGGGGCACTTCCTCTCTTACATGGCACTTAAATGTATCTATGGAAAGGAAACCACATATACAATAAATAAATAAATACAATTTGATGGGAGTTTAATGATGGATAAGAAATTAGAAAGTGTGTTCTGGGAATTAGAAAAAAAATGGGAGAGAGCAGAGTGAGAGATTAGCAGGAGGGGACACATAGCACTACACAAGATCACATACCAGTGCTAGGCAATGGAAATTCCGACCAGTTCCTCTGATCAGTCTGCAGTACTGAAGTCACCAAGTAAAGATGACAGAATCCCGTCTGACTCTCACTGCCGCAGATGAAAGATATCTCACTATCGACTTCCTGAGGCAGCGGGTGAAATATATCATGAATCTGGTAAATAAAAAGGATTATATTAAATAAGAGAGTCTCAGGAATGCAGTTTAACCTTACAACTTTATCATTTAGTAAGCAAACCTCTATGTAGCATTCGGGACACTTTCCTCTCTCCTAATCCTTGGATCCCTTCCTAAACTTATAGTTCCTTTTCCAAATCGACAGGGACTTGGGCACACCTTTAATATCTCCTATGTCTTTCTACACTACTACTCCCTTTTCTAGCATTCGCTCTTTCCTTACTTTATGTACATAGATTATCCCAAGGCATCACCCCCCTCCTATTTCCTGGTTCTTTCCTTTCCCATACATGAATCATCACTACATTAACAGGACTTCGTATGTCAGTACTGGCACAGTAAAATTGAGCAAATTCCCTTTAACAATACAAATATTCCTCATTTTAACTACCTCCTGGTTGCATAGACCTAGTGACCCCTCCCTCTTTTTATGGTGCTTAATATACCGTGTTTAAAGCTTAGGTTGTGTACATTTTATGACAAAATAATACAGAGGTCCGTTTAGTTGGACCCGGAGTGATCCCCTCTGCTCTGATCAGAGGACAGAACATTTACTAAAGGGTTTGTTACTCGTCCCGATAACTTGTGATATCTGAGCTATTTTTATGTCTCTTAGTTTGTCTTTGACTATGTAGAATTGAAAATGATAAAGAAAAAATAAAGCATGTGTGCCCTGTAACAAATCATTTGAAATAATTGACAGATGCAAAAGGCTGAATTATATTAGTCTGTTTTCCAGCATTGCATGGGGGCACTAGTAATAAGCTCTGTGGAATACGTTGGCGCTTTATAGATGCCAGTAATAATTAATATATAGATGGGCAAATGTAAAAACATCCATTATATAAATGTAACCCACATCCTACCATGTATAGTGCATAGGAACAGAAGGGAGTCCGATTCTCCTTTTTGAGTGATTAACTTTTTGGAATCCGCATCTTTTCCAGATCTCCCATTTACTTTAATAATAAAGCCATTCCTGCTCCTACAAAGAGCATTTCTTACATTAACCCAGATGTCACTCCGCTCTTCGTATATAACATGAGGCTGGATATGCTGGGGAACGTCCTTTAAAAACTGCTCCCGCTTTTCTTCATCTTCAGACATTGGGATGAAGAGTTCAGGTGGAAGCAAGACCAACTGCATGAGATGTTGGAGTCTATCTAACAGCATGGCCCAAGCACTAAAGTATAAGTGAGAGTGACTATTGTTAGACAGTGCATATGGTCATAAAGGTATAATAGAAAAGAGCAAGGAACGACAAGCAGTGCATAACATTAAGGACTATGGAGAAAAAAATATCAAAAAAATAAAATAAAAAGCACAGTGTCCATTTGAAAAAGAGTGTGCTTTTTTCTGCATGTGAAAACAGATTACAAAGAGACAATAAAAGTGTGAAAAGCATGGTATAGGCTGCAAAGTTACTGCACTGAAAAGAGAGGAAGACCAGGTAAAATATCAAGTGCAGAAGTTGAAAATTGTTTTATGTTTTGCATGTAAGGGCAGTAAAGTGGTTGCAAAAAAAAATAAAATAAATTACCAGCTAATAAAGAAATTAAAAACCACAAAAAAAACAAAACAGACATATTTAACAATAAGAAATACAGTTTTCACTCAACAAAAGATCAGTAGAAGAAGCACTATGCCTATATGATAGAATAAAGTGGCGTAAATACACACTATTTTCCATCACGTGTCCAGCCAGCTCTCACAACATATTCTGCAGAGGGAAAGAGGATATTGAATGGAAGAACAAGCTCCTTAGTCTGAGCAGTGATTATCTGGAATAAAATAAATAAAAAATAAAAACCAAGACGCAAAACCCCCCACACCTTTCTCACGGATTTTTCAACGTTTGCATATCCCGCGCATAAAAAGTTCAATCAAGCATCCTCTTATCAACACTCACCTCACCCTTATCATTGGTTGTGATTTCTGCTAGTTTAAGGGTTACTTTGGGATTTTTGCTTCCTGGTAAAAAGAAGAAAGTCAGTAAGATTTAGGAGGGTCAAAAAATACAAAAAACAAACACAATGTAAATAGAAGAAAGCAGTTGAATGCAAGTATTAGGATAGTCGATGCATTACCATCTGATGATGTAGTTAGTATTTTAGATACCTTAATTATGTAAACATTTCTGAATATCATACAAGGTTGCAACAGTCAACCATCATCTTACCTGCATGAGGATATCTGTATGCATCAGTTTTCCTCTCTTCCAGAGCTGGAGATGGAACATGTATAATTTCCACCTCAGACTCATCCACCTCCTCATAGAGGATACGGAGTAATCGAAGCCCATCAGGACCTTGAGAAAGAAATAGTCCCTATTACAGAACCAAGAAGCAGCATCATATGTATATTTAGCATGGTTATACAATACTTTCTACTGATAATTCAAAGCTTTTAGGCAAGCGAACACCCTGCTTACCCTCAACAACTTCAGGACTCCACCAGTATCCTGTGAAACGATCAAACTCTTCTTGGATTACAAAGGTTGCCACACCAGCACATTTTGGATCATCTGTTACAGTACGTAGACCTAAAAAAATCACAATGAGAAATAAAACAGATACGAAAATGACAGAGATCAGCATTTGCTCCAGAGATTTAATAAGTAATGTCTACTTAGAGGATAGTCTTACCCTTGTTGCAGTATGTTAACCTTCTCTCTTCTTTGCTCTGTATGTTGGCTACCCACAAATCATTGCTATTAATAAATGAAATGAAATCTGAGTCTGCAGGGCAGATCTTAGGATCCATTCGAGGTCCGTCACACTGTGTCTGTATCTCCACTGGAGTTGAAGGAGATGCCTACACAGAGGGAGAGAAATACAATTAAAGACTCCAGTTCTTAATAAATACATTAAAAAAAAAAAAAAAAAAAAAATTTTTTTTTTTTTAAACACACTCAGTCTTAAAAAATATGACCAAAAAAAAAAAAAAAAGACATTACCATAAAGCCTGTGCTGTGGCCATCCCTGCAGTAGTAAAGGCTGTTGTTAGCAGGGAAAAGAAAAAGTCCACTTTGGCTATGAAAATCATAGGAAGTGATTCCAAAACCTCCAAGGCGTTTGCGCTCCCGTAGTAGCTCTTCTTCCCGTGAGTAAACGCCGTGATGAGGAGTGGCCTTGGAAAAAGAACTATAAAAGTCAGTGATCTCTAGAAAGCCATTCCAAGATTTCTCAGCAACCAGTTTTATCAATGCATAATGGTATAGAGCATGAATGCCCAAAAGGTAGATCCCTAGAGGTTTTAAAATTACAACTCCCATAATGATTTGCAAAGCATCATAAAAGTTGTAGTTTTAAAACATCTGGGGACCTACCTTTTGGGCACCCCTGGTATACAGAAACATTTTGTCTAGTTGGCCTCACCTGGAAGTGCTCTAGAAGTTGCTTCCAGGCGAGTTGTGGTGTTGATTCTTTGCGCACCTTCCGAGGTATATCACAGTACATAAGTGAATTCTCCCGGCTCCCATATGGCATTCCTAAAGAAAGAAGCAAACTAATTGTAAACATCTAATTCACCGAATGTCTCCTGAACCATAGATACAGAAGACTTGTGAGTGGGCCCTTGCTCAAACAAAAGAGATTAGGTAAATCAGCCCATAGCCATGAAGTCCAGCTTTTGTGATTGACTCACCCAAAAAATATAAGCGGTGAGTATGTGTTCCGTTTTCTTCTCTGTGCGGTAGGAAGTGGTAGTCATGTGGAGCTTTGTTTACCATGATTCCAGGGTACTTCCGGCTACCGTGGATTATCTCCCTCAGACCTTGCCATGAATGTCTTTCCACCCGAAAATGGGAAGAACCGCTCTCCATTTCTACCTTTATGTTCTCTGTTTTTACTTCAACCGACATCTGACTGTTTCTTCCTGGGCCACATAGGCTACAGTGAAAAAAAAAAAAAAAAAAAATTAAAAAAAATAAAAAAAAAAAAAAAAAAAAAAACACACATACGGGGTTATTCACAAAAGTGAGAATTTAAAGTGAATTTCAAAGTGCATGTCAAAAAAGCCAAACTGAAAAAATTCTGTACGTCACCTATGCTTTCAGTTTGGCTACCCTGGATAATTTGACATTTACTTTAGTGAGGAACTTGGATAACGTTAAATGCCAAGACAGTAATAGGAAGGGAAGATGAAATTACACAGAGTTATGGTATTTTCTTGAAATCTAAATGAGAATTTCCAAATTTTCCATAAATCAGTCAAGCATATAAAAAAAGAAAAAGAAAAAAAATATTTATATTTTATTGACAGGTAATGTGCAGCGGGAGAGAGAAAACACCAAAGACATTCAATAATATTAAGTAAATGAAAGACTTGGCTCCCTGTGGTAGGTGAAGGAACACGGAGCATGTCTTGCCTGGTTAAACACCATAACCACTAGAGCTTCATGTATTAGTTATGGAACCAGGAGTGCCTTAATGCCCCCCTCCCCTCATAGTGCCAACCACTACGTGCGTACTACTCACTACTGTACTATAGAGGGAAACAAGAATGCTTTAATGATATCAAACAATCCACACATACTTAGGATAAATGTTAAATTGTTCAATCCCAAATAAATCCATACAGAAGCTACAGTTCATGTGCAGTGCTCTCAAACAAATTTCACCAGCCACGGCTCCATTCGTACCATTGCAGAAGCATTTAAAATGTTAACAAGTTCACATATCACACACACACTATACACTATATTATGAATTTAAAAACAAAATAGCCAAGGTGGAAAAATTTCCAAAGTTAGCTATGTTTCTGATTTGACTAATTTGGCTTTTGAACTCCCCAAAATTCTCGCTTCAGTAAATAATTCTGACAGTAAGCTTTCAATGTCAAACATCATGAATGCAATCTAGTAACAAGGTCTGGAGAAGATAGAGGGCATTGAAACAATGAATATTATAGACTTAAACATCATCAGCCTGCATTGATCTTTATAGTACAGAATTAATATTAATGGAACACTATACGGTCAGGAACAAAAAAAAATGTATCCCTGACCCAATAGTGTAAAAAAAACACACAGAAAACCATCATGTTAGCCCCGCCACCCCATCTCTTAAAAGGCTTAAACGGTATAAAACGTATGCACAGAACTGTCAGTCAACCTGGAACTCTTGCTCCAGGCTGGCTAATGACATCCCAATTATGCTGCAGTAGGCGAAGTTACACCTCCAACAGCAGAGAGTTTAAACTCTGTATTTATAGTGTTCCATAGTGAAACACTGCACATACAGAATCCAGGCACCATAACAGCGAAGTGTAACCCTTTAACCCCTTAAGGACCAAACTTCTGGAATAAAAAGGGAATCATGACATGCCACATATGTTATGTGTCCTTAAGGGGTTAATGAAAATAGACAATTCTCACTTGAGAAAACGATTGGTGTGCATAAATGAAGGGGGTGAACTTGCATGGAGTGTCAACGGAGAAGGAATTTATATTTACATAAAATAACAGAGCATATTTAATGGCTGTTGGAGAACTACACAATGCATTGCACACAAAGAGCACCAGCCTGTAAAGCAGCATTAACCCCTTAAGGACCAAACTTCTGGAATAAAAGGGAATCATGACATGCCACACATGTCATGTGTCCTTAAGGGGTTAAAGGAAGTGAGCGCAATGGGTAAAACGCACACTGTTCGTGCGAAAATGAGGGATGCTTTAGGGTTAAAATTTGTTTCCAGCACAGTGGCAAAAAAAAATAAAATTTGGTATTCAGATGTTGTAGAACAACTGCCAAATCATCATATGTGTTGTAGATCTACAACTTCTCAAAGTCAGCCATTGGTGATCCCCGGATTAAAAGATTTATAGCTTACCATAACTTACACAAGTTTTTTTTTTTTACTTTGCCATGCATCATCCCCCACCCCCCTTCCCCCCACAAAAATACAAAACCCAAAATGCACTTACTGTATTACAAGATAAGTAGTTACTTTACAAAACACACAATGGTGACATGTTTACATTAGTTACACATGCACAATATATACACATACATATGGATTTTTAGATTTCACCTGCTCTTGTTTTCTCCTGTTGTGACAGAATCCACACGTAGTCTCTTTAATCTCTGCATTAACCATCCAGGGGGCTGTAAGACAGACACAGAGGGGGCAATAAGTGACAATAACATGTGCAGTCAGAAGCTACCCTGTAACACTGGGGACAGTACCTGGACCATCACCATGGGCTGAATCACAGAGCTCCACTGAGGCTCTCCTTCCTGATCACCACTCTCTAACTAACCCATATACCTTGTCACACGCTCCATTATAACAGATTCATCTCACCCCAATGGTTCGCCTTCGGTCCCCGAGCCCGGAAACAGGATGGGAAAGAGCCGGCTCCGTGAAACCTCTGACCCGGATGAGAATTCCAAGAATGTCTGTTTACCATCTAGCGGTTGGGAGGACTCATAGCAATGAGGGCTATTGGTTTGGAATCTTAACACCATGGTTCCAAAATTATGGAATGTCCAGGACAGCTTGGCTGCCAGAAAGCAAGGTGGAATAGAAACAGGAATATTATTTATGTTTTTTGGTCATCTGTAATAAAATATGCTAAATAAATAAAATAAAAAACTACTTAAAACCAAATGGTGGGGAATAGGTGAAAAACAAATCTTTGCAGAACTGATTGTTGGTGAGGGGGGCTCAACTGGGTGTTGTAAAAGGGCAAGCAACAATTTAATTGGCATAGTAGTTACAGTGACACCAGGGCTACTCCTGGAAATTATTGTAGACTTCAGAAGTTTATTCACTTACATTTATAATGAATTCAAACCCCAATTGCAAACTCAGGTACTTGGGGGAGGCAGGGGATCTAAATAGATGGTATAATACCATGGTGTTAGGAATATATGTTTGTATATATGTTTAAAGGGACACTCCAGACCCCTAAAGCACTTTAGCTTGCTGAAAAGCTTTATATGTGAAGAGTGTGTACTTTTCTTTTTTTTTTTTTTTTACTTTTTACAAAAACTTCAGATTTCAATAAAATAGGCACTTTTATAACTTAACCTGGTTACACCCTTTGGGCTGTCACACAGACAACTAAAGGAACACTATAGTCACCTAAATTACTTTGGCTAAATAAAGCAATTTTAGTGTATAAATCATTCCCCTGCAATTTCACTGCTCAATTCACTGTCATTTAGGAGTTAAATCACTTTGTTTCTGTTTATGCAGCCCTAGCCACACCTCCCCTGGCTATGATTGACAGAGCCTGCATGAAAAAAAAAAACTGGTTTCACTTTCAAACAGATGTAATCTACCTTAAATAATTGTATCTCAATCTCTAAATTGAACTTTAATCACATACAGGAGGCTCTTGCAGGGTCTAGCAAGCTATTAACATAGCAGGGGATAAGAAAATTAAACAGAACTTGCAATAAAGAAAGCCTAAATAGGGCTCTCTTTACAGGAAGTGTTTATGGAAGGCTGTGCAAGTCACATGCAGGGGGGTGTGACTAGGGTTCATAAACAAAGGGAGTTAACTCCTAAATGGCAGAGGATTAAGCAGTGAGGCTGCATGGGGCATGTTCTATACACCAAAACTGCTTCATTAAGCTAAAGTTGTTCAGGTGACTATAGTGTCCCTTAATTCTTTTACTTCCTGGTTTGGTTCAATCAATAGAGCTACATTCACTAGTGTGAATTAGCAATTTGCAGGGTTATTCACTAAAGTGTGAATTTAAAGTAAATTTTAAAGTGAATTTTAAATTTAAGGACAGAGTAGCCGAACTGAAAGCTCAGGGGACTTTGAGAATTTTTCCAGTTTGGCTATTTTGACCTTATATTTGAAATTCACTTTAAAATTCTTACTTAAGTGAACAACCAAGTAGCCAAAGGTGAGCCTAGCTGAATTACAACATTATTTTTTTTTCATTTTGGCTACTCTACTTTGACTTTAGATTTGATATTCAGTTTGAATTCTTCTACTTTATTAAATACTGCTAATTTCACCTGGATTCACTCTGAACAAATAAAAAAAAAAAGGCAAATTAACAACAGTTAAAGGTACACTCCAGGCACCCAGACCACTTCTGCCCATTGGAGTGGTCTAGGTGCCAACTACGATCACCCTTAACCCTGCAAGTGTAATTATTGAGGTTTTTATAAACTGCAATAATTACCTTGCAGGGTTAAGTCCTCCACTAGTGGCTGTCTATCAGACAGCCACTAGAGGGACTTCCGGGTTCTTAAAACATGAAAAGTGTTTTAAACGATGCTGCACGTCCTCACGCTATGCATGAGGCCCTCCAGCGTCGCCGGAGAGCATGAATAAAGCATTGAGTGAATCCTATGGGAATCCCCATAGGAATAATGCTTTACTATGGGGAGGTCTAATGCACACGCGCGACCATTGCCATGCATGCGCATTAGGTCTCCCCTGCCGTCTGACGCTGGTGGGCAGAGCCTGACCAAGTGCCGAGGGACATCGGTGCTGGATTCCGGTAAGTCATTGAAGGGGTATTAATCCCTTCAGCAACATGGGATGGGGGGTGGGAGGGAGAGGGGCACTGCAGGATTCTGCGGTGCCAAGAAAACGGGTTTGTTTTCCTGGCACTGGAGAGTCCCTTTACCTGTATGAGGTGGACATGGGTTATATTATAAGAATACATCCCATCAATTATCGAACTATAACCACTCCCACATCTAATCATCATGACCACACCCAGCCCTGCAGCTAACTCTATAAATGAGACAAGATGGCAGTGGAGCTGCTAGTTGCTGGAAGAGCAGTCGGGTGGAGCCTGCTGGCCAGCTTGGTGTGTGGTAGTGTCGTGTGGTCCCTCATCGGCTGTTTATCTGTGTCACCAAGAGAAGACCTGCCCCCGAATTAGCTCAACTGGCACCATGTCAACTCCTGGCATCAGGCGCTGCCACGCTAGGAGGAGGGAACATGTCCCTGAAGAGCAGGTGCGGTGGTGGGCTGGTCACTTGTTTTATTTTAATTTGTTTTTGTTAAAACTGAAAAAAAAAAACTAATCTGCATGATATTTAGTGGAAATACTCCCTGTCCTCCATAGTAAATTCTTGTCTTATAATAACTTAAAGTGGGCATATCGCTTCTCTAGATAGAAGCTAAGTGGGCACTTCTGTCGTTTAGGCTCAGATAATCTGTTAAACTGGGGCCAGGGCACTTGAGGCACCATAACTACTATATTGTGGTTATGTTGCCAGGCGTATTCCTTTAATGTTGTATTCTCCTCACCCCCATGTTATATTTTTTATTTTAAAATGTGTTAGTTACAGTCCACAATTCAACTCAGTCCAGACATAATGCCCTCTTCCAAAACTGTTCAGTAGCAGCAAAGGGCAATATTTATTATGATGAGGGAACCAAAATGAAGGAAGGTTCCCCGTTCCAGAACTGATGTGACTTCTTACCTGTTTGCAAAACTTTAAAGGTAGAATGCTAAACTGTTCTAAAACAGTTTGACTACTTTGGGGGGAGGGATACGCCATGGCACTCCTGGCACCATAACTACATTGTTATGGTGTGTTGCATGTTCCTTTATTACATGTTATTTTATGTTTCAATTGTGTAACTTCCAGAGAAGTTTCAGTACTCCTTTAAAGGGGCACCATGACCAACAAAGCTCATGACACTAGCAGTCTTTGGATGCTGGCCATGTTTTCTGTCGACTGTTTCAGAGCTACCTGACAAACTGGAGTTTTCATCGCCCATTCCTTCTGCAACCACACTGATTTAATTTTGGTATACTAAATACAGGGATATTCACTAAAGTGAGAATACAAAGTGAACTTCAAGTTCAAAATAGAAACTATCTTCGCAATGCTTCCAGTTTAGTTTCTCTGGCCTGATGTTTGAAATTTACTTTGAATTCTCACTTTAGTTAATGACCCTGCTAGTCTCTTAATTTGTTGCTCAGGTTTAGTCACTTTTGGTTTATGGTAGCTTGCAGGACTGGTGTGAGGATTTTTGGCTATACAGGCGAAGATGCACGTTGCCCCTTCCATTCCCCCCCACAAAAAATGCATTTTGCCTGTGTCCTCTTGAATTTCCTGCCCACTTTTGTCTCTTTCTACCGTTCCCCATCCCTGCTGTCTCTCATACAGCACCTCTGTGTCCAACCTAGTCCCTGAGTGTCACCCCCTCCCAGCCCATGTCAGAATCTTGCCCCTTCTCCAGCCCTTCTGTACCTTTTTTAATTGCTTTAGAATTTATTTTTGTAGTGCATGGTAATTGGTTCAGGAGATTAGAGACATTGTAAATGGTAACATTAAAAAGTGGTTACAAGGTTATAATACATGCCTGAATCACTGCATCAAATCTGACTGTGCCCCAGCACCTGTTTCTTTCTCTCCCTAGTCCCTTTTGTGTGCGTTTCTTCCCTTGCCAGTCCCTCTGTCTTTCACTAGCACTTTCTCCCCCAGTGTCTCCATGTCTGTGTCCAACCCCAGTCCCCCAAATGTCTCCTCACCTCCCTCTTGTAGCATGGGTGTGCTGTGGACCGGGATAGATGAGCTTTAGTAACCTCTACCTGGACTCACAGGAAGCAGATCTGTGCTCTCAGCAGGTCCGGACTGGCCATCAGGCACACCAGGGAAATGCCTAGTGGGCTGCCATGGTCATGGGCTGAGGCTGGCAGGGGTATTCCATGATGGGCCAGTGGGGAAATCAAAGATCTCCCTCACTGGCCCACTTGCACAGACATGCGGCTGGGGATGGAGAGAGGACCCAGAAGACTCTATCTAGCGAGGGGTGTTGCCATGTCTTGCGAGAGTGAACTCTAGCGCCACAGGCTAGAGTTCACTCACCACTAGCACCACCAGGGATGGCAGCATGGTCCCCCCCTCCCAGCCTCTCACACGCAGTGCATTACACCACAAACACAACACTACTAAAACTATCTTATTACACAATAACACACCACAATCTGCTCACTCTACACACGCAATCCAACAAGCAGGCTCCAAACACATGCACAATACTCTTTCCTGGCCCTTGTCTCCAGTTATCCCATTTATAGACAAGTGGCAAGGAAACACAGTGCAAGCATGTTAAATATGCTTGCGCTGTGCAGAACAAATACAGGACTTTTTTCTCATGCTAGAGCTCTTCAGCAGAGCTCTGCGCATAGTCTTCCCTCGAAGAGCATTGAACCAACATGCTCACTTTGCGAGGGGGTGTGTTTGTCACTGGTGATGACAAAATGCACCCTGTCTGCGCTGCCCCTTCTTAGTTGGCTGCTGTGCTAAAAATTTTTTTTTTTTTTTTAAATGGCCTGGCTCACAGTAAGCACTTCCTGTGAAACCAACGTAGAGGTTACTGAAGCTCCTCTCTCCTGGTCTGCACTCTGTGTAGTGCGCTCCCCTCCTACTGATCAGTCAAATCTTGCACACACAGGGTCGGTGTGCCTAAGCGCCGCTTGTACCACCTTATGGTATTGCTGGCCCTGGCTGCATGATATAGGTGTAAATATCATGTGGTAGGTGTCTTCTAATCTGAAATTCAGAACTTTGAATAAAGTCTGTTTTTGCTACTTTTTTTGTAGCTGTAGATATATTGCATTTGGGCATTGCTTGAACATTGATACATTTAAGTCAAGAGTTACAGTATTATTCAACAAAGTGGTATATATATTTTTTTTTTTATAAGCTTACACCTTACTATTTTTCTTCCCTAACACAAATACTTTCATACAGAATGTGATCCACCGAATGTCCATCATACCTCTGTTTAGCTCGAGTTGCGGTGTAGTCATTGCTATTTACAACTCAACAAAAGACCGGTCCCCATATCTTCGCAGTGTTTGTGATGTGGCTGAAAAAAGCACTAAGATCCTAGCTGGGGCTGCAGCTTTTGGAGCACAACCACTGATTGCCATATTTGAGCCACAAAGTGAGTAACACACTATACTGAAACTCAATCTATGATGCAGGCTACCACGTTTTTACATAATTTACTTTTTTATTCCCTCTTATTTTTTTTTTTAAAGCTGTTTTGTGAAACTATTGGGATACAATTGCCTACATTTTATCCCCACACTCTTACTTAAACAGTGTATAATTCAAAGGTGTTTTTAGAAGTGTTTTTATTATGCTCAAAGATCTTTAGTCATTGTTTCAAAAAGCCAGTTTGGCCTTGTTTCTCCTACAGTTGCCACTGCCAATGAGTTGCTCTGCAAAGGTTTAGATAAGCTGGAATCTGCTCTACCCATTTTGCAGCAATCGCCAGAAAAGGTAAAGATTGTCAATGCAATGTAAACCCCCATGTCCTGCCTTCATTATAGCTGATTACTTTTTGGATTATCATTCTACAGGTTATTGCAGACACAAAGGAGCTGGTGACGGGAACACAAGACGCTGTGACCAACACTGTTGCAGGAGCCCGTAATACAGTGATTGGTGTAGTAGGTCTGGCAATAAATGTTGTCAATAGTAGTGTTGATGTGACAAAGACTGTATTTGCCACCATGGGGTCTCATGTCGAGCAGCTAGTGACAACTAGCATCGATACTGCTCTGGTAAAGTCGGAGGAGTGGGTAGATCGCCATCTACCAGTGGATGAAGATCTAGGTGAGATGCTTGCGAACTCTGGATTTTTTTTTTTAGTCTTAAAGGACAACTACTTCTGTGCCTTCCCTTCTTTCCCACCCCCCATTTAATGATCATAATAAACTTTTTTAAATTTTATTTTTGAGAATTTCACTTCAGGTGAGCAGCCATTTTGGATCAGACTCAATCCCAGCAGGAGGCAAGTTAGATTGAACAGTAGTTGATCAACTAACAGTCTGACACAACATGGCTGTTCACTCATGTAAAAGTTTAATTTTATTTAAAGAGAAAATGTAAGATCTTAAACGGACACTATAGTGACCAAAACATTAGCTCTATGAAGGAATTTTGGTGTACAGATAATGCACATGCAGTTCCACTGCTCAATTATCTACAATTTCAGAGTCAAATCACTATATGAAGGCTGTGCAAGTCACATACAGGGAGGTGTGACTAGGGCTGCATAAACACACTTCCTGTAAAGTCATCTAATGTTTACATTTCCTGTACTGAAAATACTGTTGAACTTAGAATTTCTGATTTCCTGCTCCTGATCTGTTAATAGCTTCCTAGATCCTGCCAGAGCAGGAGATAAGAAATTTTAAGTTACTTCAGATTTGAAAATTAAACAATTTTGGTTTTATGCAGGCTGTCTGTTACAGCCAGGGAGGTGTGGCTAGGCCTGTATAGACAGAAACAAAAGTGATTTAGCTCTTATATGGCAGAGAATTGAGCAATGAGATTGCAAGAGCATGATCCATACACAAACACTGCATCTTTAAGCTAAAGTTGTTTTGGTGACACTAAAGTATCCCTTTAAAGTGTTTTCTTGTATCTTTTTTTTTTTAGTACAGTAGCTGGTGTCCACTACTAAACATACATTGCTCCAATCACTGTAGATGCAGAGAAGTATAAATGGCTCTACGAATCTTGTGTATCCCTGTCTCCACCTCCCCACTGTAGTTTAAAGATGCTAAACAAACCTAATGCCAGTTTGCTGTAAAAGTAATTTTTTTACACTTTTATTGATGTTTTGTCAACAGACCAGCATGATCCACATAAAGTGGTGTTAACTACTGAGCAGAAACAGAGGATGCAGCAAAAATACTCACTTCGCTTGGGGTTACTGTCTCTTCGGTTTCATCACTGTGCCTACGAACTCTCCTTGGGAAAGGTGAAGCATGCCAGCAATGGTACTCTAGAAGTTCTAACTGAACTGCATCGCAATATCAACTTGGTAAGTAGTCCTGTGTGGCATTTATTAAATTTGTACACCAGAAAATTACTGTCCTTAAAGCTTGGCAGATGTGTTTCCCCTAGTGAACTGCAAAAATAGCTGGAGATGCTTCTAGTTGGGTATAATGCCAGGAGTTCCTTGAGGGCTATCTATTGGTATCTGTCAAACTGTTTACAAGCGATCGAACACTTCCTTTGTGGCCCTTCTGGTTTGATGGCCAGTTCTTAGCCATTGAACGCTGTTGAAACCTAGCATGAACTTACCTTCATCATGCTGGAACATCTGACCCAGCATGGTATTTGTCAAACCATTGATAAAGTTTGCTATATTGTCTGAAGGTGCCTAGGGACTCTTGTGCCCATAACCAGCTTAACTGTAATATTTATGATGTCTAGAGTCTCATAAATTAAAAACTAAACCTTACAGATTGAATCTACCAGACAGAATATTCATTGTGGCCTAGGTAAACTGCATCAGTTGTGGCTAGAATGGAAAGAGAAACAGCTGAGACCGATGCCTGTTGGAATGGAGAGAGAGTCACTGGGAGAGGTAAGGGTCATGCAGTCTGATGAAATACTGCCTTGTAATGGTCACTCCGGGTTATAGACTGTTCTAAAGTCGATCACTGGAATTGATGTCTGTTAGAGCAAAACATTATTTTTTTTTTTTTTTCAGCCTCTTGAGTCTCTCGTACTGTCAATGATCCAGGCCGCAACACAACAACTTCAGACTAGCTGTCTAAATCTGGCAACTGTGGCACAAGGTTTCCCTGCTCACATCCAGGAGAGCATACAGAGACTATGGCGACATGCTCAGGACTTGCATTCATCATTCTCAGTTATTGAAACTTGCAGGGATCTCTCGCTGGCAATCCTGACAAAAAACCATAAACATATTGTCCGTACCTATCTCATAGAGCTCTATAACTATACGAATGCCCAAATCTCTGTGCCTGGGCTAATCTGGCTACAGAGGTTCTGGGATGTGTCCCTCTAGAAATTACTTTTCTTGACTTGATCTTGATGACAATAAAACTCTACTGGCACTTAACTTGTGAAGTCTTGCTTCTGATTTCAAATCTGCCATGTAATTACCTGACTAATTAGCTGAATCTGAAAGAAGCACTGAAGTGTTAGGAATAAAAGTTTTTAATCCCCCTATTTACGCTTATAGGTTCCTCCCCTAGTCTGTCGGTGCTACTTACCTCTGCATGGCCTCCTTCACTGATATTCAATGCTGCTTGCAGAACATACAGGGCAAGCTGTTCAAATTTCCCCATAAAGCATTGAATCAATACTTTCCTAGGGGGCAGCTATCACGTGATTGTTTAACAACATTTCTGCAGCAAGATGCACCTCCAGTGACTGCCAGTAGAACTATGCAATGCCTTTGTTGCAGTTTCAATGGCTTAAAGGGACACTATAGTCACCTGAACAACTTTAGCTTAATGAAGCAGTTTTGGTGTATAGAACATGCCCCTGCAGCATCACTGCTCAATCCACTGCCATTTAGGAGTTAAATCCCTTTGTTTATGAACCCTAGTCACACCTCCCTGCATGTGACTTGCACAGCCTTCCATAAACACTTCCCTCTTTAGGCTTTCTTTATTGCAAGTTCTGTTTAAGATTTTCTTATCCCCTGCATGTTAATAGCTTGCTAGACCCTACAAGAGCCTCCTGTATGTGATTAAAGTTAAATTTGGAGATTGAGATACAATTATTTAAGGTAAATTAAATCTGAAAGTGAAACCAGTTTTTGTTATGCAGGCTCTGTCAATCATAGCCAGGGGAGGTGTGGCTAGGGCTGCATACACAGAAACAAAGTGACTTAACTCCTAAATGACAGTGAATTGAGCAGTGAAATTGCAGGGGAATGATCTGTACACTAAAACAGCTTTATTTAGCTAAAGTAATTTAGGTGACTATAGTGTTCCTTTAAGCTAACAGGTGATCAAATGATTACCCTGACTATCCCATGCAGTGCCAACACTAAATCCAAGCAGAGACCTTAGATGATGCTGTGTACCTTCATGGGCTGGGGGAGAGCAATGACATATGGGAGGTGAAAACAGGCTTAAAATTCTCTCCAGTGCTGGAAATTAAATCAAACTTGTCAAACATGGGCAAACTTTAATAAAAGTATTTGTACTCATGCTACAGTTTCTTTAAGACTGTGTTTAGCGCAGGAAAAATGTGACATGTTGGGTTCTTTGAAGAAAATTTTTTTTAAAACAAAACCAGTTGGTTTCAGTAACTGTTCAGTCTTGTTATCTGTATGCTTAAAGCTGAACTCTATAGTAAACAATGTTTTTCTTAGACAATATTAAAAGGGACACTATAGTCACCAATACAACTTTAGCTTAAATGGATTCTCCAGTGCCACGAAAAATTATTTCCTGGCACTAGAGAACCCTGGAGTGCCCCTCTTGCCCTATCCATGTCACTGAAGGGGTCAAAACCCCTTCAGACACTTACTGGAATCCAGTGTCAATGTCCCTCGGCGCTGGGTCAGGCTCCGCCGGTGGGGGAGACCTAACGTGCATACGTAAAATAGACCTAACCATGTAGGAATTATTCAATGCTTTCCTATGGGGATTCTGGTGACACTGGAGGTCCTCATGCATAGTGTGAGGAAGTCCAGCATCACTTAGATGACCAAAAGTAGTCTAAGATGCCAGAAGTCCCTCTAGTGGCTGTCTGGTAGACAGCCACTAGAAGACTTAACCCTGCAAGGTAATTATTGCAGTTGATAAAAACCTCAATAATTACACTTGCAGGGTTAAAGGTGATGTAAATCAGCATCAAGACAACTTCAATGAGCTGAAATTGTCTGGGTGCCTAGTGTGCCTTTTTAATAAAGCAATTTTGGTGTGTAGTTAATTCGCCTGTAGTCTCATTGCTCAGCTCACTGCCATTTAGGAGTTAAATCACGGTTTATTCAGGCCTCGCCACACAAAGTATGACCATGACAAAATAAAAATATATAATAAAGTGAGAGTAACCCAATATTAATGGGGGAAAAAGGTGCTGTAATTATATTAAGGAAATCAAAGGGCAATCTATAATCCCAAACCTGACAACTGTTATTTTGGGGACTATAGATGCACGTTTACCATAGTGCTCAATGTCCACACACTTTTCCTCGTTAAAATAAAATGACTTGCCTCCATTCCAGTGCAATGACTCCTGCTGCTCCTCTTTTGTTCTGAGCATCAAAGCAAACATCACTGGAGATCTCCTCCAACCCTCTGCTTCTCATAGAGAAGCAACTGATTGTAACTAGGCATGTGTGGCCAAATGTCACGCTCCTTCAATCAAATGCATCTGCAGCATTTGACTCAGGCCCGAAGTTCACTCAACTCTGTAGGAGGAAACTAGACAGAGGATGCACTGTAGAACAATAGCAATGTTGAGTCTTGCCTAATCATCCAATTATCAGTTGGAGAGTGTGTACCTGCTCACATTGAAAAATGTCACAAATCCATCTCCTCAGCCAAAAAGCCCATAAGTGCCAATACCCAGAGGTAATTGCCTGCAAGCCTCAGATTGCATTTTGGCAGTCACACTGCCTTCCATTCCAGTCATTAACAACTTTCTCCTAGGGTGAGGTTTAATAATGGTCTTTGGAGGATAACAATGTTACCTGGTTTTTAGGTGCCAATAAAAGAACACTGTATGGAGTGTTGCACTTTTGTTTTTATTTTAAATTCAACTCTATTACTATTTTGTCCAGCCCTCACAGAGCGAGGGTGAAAGCTCCATGCAGAAAAGAAAAGGGATAGTTTGGTGATACACACTCTGTACTCCTTTTACAGCGTGCAATCCGTAACGGGCAGGGTTGTGCACAGCAACTGGCAGAGATTCCTTTCACTTGTCACTGAAGCTGCATGCAGTTTGAGTGGATATCTGCAAGGAGAATTACCACAAGGCCCTTGAATTTTAATCAAAGCCAGGTACCTATTTTTCCTACTGGCAAATAGACCTGGGTGATTTATAATCTCTAACATAGTAGTAGAGTAATTGCTATGTGGTGGTGATTCTGCTTAGCTGTGAGGGGCAGCAGTGTGTGTAGTTACTGGTTTCTCTCAGGAGCTACATCAGGCTGGTAGGAAAGACTTCTAACCGGATACTTCACAGGGCAAGCTGCTTTGGAGAAGCAATGTTTCTTGTGGCTGCATTTAGTCTTCGCAGATACTACTCATCAGCCACATTCAAACCACTTGCCCAATTTCATGTAGGTCTGCCAATATAGCTCTGATGCATCAAGACATGGACTCCACAAGACCTCCGAACGTGTCCTGTGGCATATGGCACAAAGACATTAGCAGCAGATCCTTTAATCCTGCAAATTGTGTGGTGGAGGCTCTGTGGCTCAGAAGTGGTGTTCCAGCACACCTCACACGTACTCATTTGGATTGAGATCTGGGGAATTTGAAAGCCAAAATAACACCTTGAACACTTTGTCATGTTCCTGAAATCATTCCTGAAGAATATTTGCAGAGTGGCAAGGTGCATTATCCTGCTGAAAAAGACCACAGAGGTAACACTGTTGCCATGAAGGGGTGTACATGGTCTGTAACAATCTCGAGGTAGGTGGTAACAGCCACATGAATGCCAGCACACAACACTGCCTTCTTCCCATAGTGCATCCTGCTGCCATTTCTTTCCCACATGCACCTGACCTAAAATAAAAAGTGATTCATCAGACCAGGCACCCTTCTTCCAGTGCTCCATAGCTCAGTTTGGATGCTCACATCGCCGTTGAAGGTGCTTTCAGTAGTGGACAGGTGTCATCGGGGGCACTCTGACCAGTCTGCTGCCAAATTGCAGAAAGACAAGAACTTACCATGCCCAATCACAATCTCCTCTGTCTCGTTATCCTCCCTCCAAGCACAGTAGACCTACTTCCATTTAGATATCACTCACAGTTAAAGATTGTAACCCAAGTGGAAAAATCAGCCATGCATTAAGGGACCACTCTGAGCATCATAACCACTACAGAGCTATGTAATGGTTATGGTGCCCTGGAGTCATTGTACGATAAGCTGTTACGCTGTTTGCAAACATTTTGACAATTTATCTGGGATACAAATTACATTCTAGCGGGAGTGAGCTAAAGTAACAAGACTTAAGTGTACAATGTATTTTATGTATGGGAAAGGTGGGTTACTAAGGTGTGCGGAGAGAAAGCTGTTATGCGGTCCTGAAGAAGTGCATTCACAATGATTTTTTTGAAGGATGGGGATTAGGTGAAAATCTAATGGATCAGGGATTGGAGATCCATAGGAACAGTGCAGCCCTAGAGAAGTCTTGAAGGTGGGTGTCAGAGGTGCAAGTACAGAGGATAGATTGATATCTACTGTCCTTTTGTGTATTTTACCCCACCTCCTATAGACTGTAAGCTCATTTGAGCAGGGCCCTCTTCAACCTATTGTTCCTATACGTTTTTGTAATAGTCTCATTTATTGTTAAATTTCACCCTTTGATAACATTGTAAAGCACTACAGAATATGCTGGCGCTATGTAAATATCAGTAATAATAATAGATGCAGGTCTTCAGCAATGCGTATGGGCCTGGCCAGGACATACTTTTGTATTAGTAAGGGTAGGTATGTAGGAGCAGTGTTATGCAGATATATAAACATTTACCACAATTTAACAGGAAACCAATGTAAAGACTGACAGACGGAGGTGCAGGAGCTCAGGAAATTGAGCCTCACTTTAGCATTCATTATAGACTAGCGAGAAAGCTGGGAATGCTTACTACTGCGGATTGCAGTAGTAAAGGTGGGAGAAGATAGCTTCACGGACTAGCACCTTAGCATCATCCAGTGTTAGGGGCAGATGCAAGCTATGTTTTTGAGATAGAAGTGGCAGAATTTGTAAATTAGCTGGACATGAAGTGTAAAGGAGAGGTTGGAATCAAAGAGAACACCTAGGCAGAGAGCCTGTGAGGTAGAACAGATAATAGTGCCATCACTTGGAGTGAGACAGACA